GAAACAAGTTGGGGACAGGAAGGAGAGCCCCCAATTAAGGGAGAGTAATGTGTGCAAGAGCCCAGATGCATGTTCAGAGAAACGCATCTGCCCAGCTTGACAGAGGGCAGCAGTGCGAATGAGATGGGTACTGATCACCAATGAAGCACCATGGACACAAAACTAATGGAGTCCGGGTATCCCCTAGGAACCCTCTCAGTGCCTTGATGTTGTTTAATGCATAAAAAATAGAGATATTTTAAAATAAAAATTAGAGATAATTATTTTGCAAAATGATTCACTGCAGAATTCTTTTTGAATTTAAAATGTGATTCAGTTTACAAAGATGCAATTTACACACACCTTGTCAGAAATACACATTTAAGTTCCCAAATCAAAATGAGAGCCAAAAAAAAAAAAAAAGAGAGAGAGAGCTTTCAAGCTACTGAGAAGGCTTACAATTTTGTACTGTCTAGATCTGTACCTAAGCATCCTGTTCAAGTCTGAGGTATCAGCTCAATTTACTCGCAACACCAAGTAGAAGATTCAGATATGCTTTCTGAAGCATTTGCAGACCAAATCAGACGCACCAAAATCCTCAGCTCCTTCCCCAGCTCACTGCTGAAGGTGGACTGCTCTCCCCAAGTGGTGTCCTTTTTATCCATTCTCCTACCTTGACAAGAACACAACTACCTCACACACAGAGCTTTCGGTTTCACCTGGTGCAAACCCACCTGATAATGTAGCATAAATGTCTCCATTTGAACTCCCATGAATTTGGCTTTCACTTCAAAGTCTCCAACTTCTTCTGTTGGACTGATTTCAAAGATAACATTTTTAAACCTGTTGAAACATAACATCATAAAGGTATGATTTTTATGTTCTCATATAAAAATATTCTGTGAAACACAGAAAGGAGACGGACATCGTCTTCAAGAGTGAAAAGGGGTACAAAATAAAGGTCCAAAGTACTCCTGCAGGCGAAGCTGTGTTGGACTGTACACTAAGTACCATCCACTTCGGGATCTGTAGAGAGGAGTGGCAACCTCCCGGGAGCACTTGCTTTCTATGGAAAGAGGAACTACTGGGGAAGGCCACAAATGGCCTCTAAGGGGCGACATCAGGGATTCTCTGGGCCTTCTGATGTGACCACGCTGAAACCTAATGATAAAAGGAGAATCAAGAGGAAATTAGGCTAGAAGGAGGAGGAGGAAGGGATGGATGTTTGAGGATTGGAAGAAGTAAACAAAAGGGTATCAGAACAAGAAGAACCAAGACAGGTTTTCTGGAAAGAGCAGGTGCTATAGATATAAATGTACTGAGTGCCACCAAGGGTAGATCAACTGCTATTACTGAAAATATTTAAGGTGTCACTCTTCTCAACATGCTATTTGCCAAGAAATTTTATAGCACCAGAAGGTGGGAGTATGTTGTTTCCCAGGTGATCAAAGTATATCACCCCACATTTCCATTAGTCAACTGGGGAGCAAACTGATGTACTGTAAACAGAGCTGAGAACCACAAAGGATGCAAGAGGATCCTGGGAAGCTAAAAGAGAGGTCACAAAATCCATGTACTAAAACAGATGCTCTTTACTCAGCAGGAGATCCCACAGGTTATAAAGCTATTTATTTTATGTGATAAATAATTTTATTTTAATCGGTTTGGTTTGTCATCTGGTTTCTAAACCCATAGTAACAAATTAAGAAGAAATAAGAGAGTCAAATAATGGTAGGCACTTAAATAGCAGTGCAAATAATGACAGAAAGAAGGGAGGAGATAGTAAATATTAGATTTGAAAAATGCATAAAGCGATCAACTGAAAAAAACCCCAAAAGACCAAGGTCCCCAACTGAAACAATGACCAGAGACAAGAATATAGATACTAAGTCATGTTTAAAAACACACACACACACCTACTAAGAAGTTCAACCAGAATTTTAAAAAGTGCAAAATTTTAAAATGCTACCATTTTTATCTATTGACTCAAAACATCGAAAATTATCTTATTACTCAGTGATGGCAAGGAAGTTGCGAGGTAAGTAAGCATTTTTATACATATGTCAGATACTGCTAGAAAATATTTTGCAATATATGAGTTAAAAGCTTTTTCAATTGCTATAGAAAATGGTATGACAATTCATAAAAAAATTTAAAATAGAACTATCATATGACCCAGCAATCCCACTTCTGGCTAGACAGCCAAAAGAACTGAAAGCAGACTCTCAAAGAGATATTTACACTTCCAGGTTCACTGTAGCATTATTCACAAGAGCAAAAAGGTGGAAGCAAACCAAATGTCCATCAATGGATGAATGACTAAGTAAAATGTGGTACACGTACACAATAGAAAATTATTCAGCCTTAGAAAGGAAGGAAATCTGTCACATGTTACAACATGGATGAATCCTGAGAACATTATGCCAGGTGAAGTAAGCCAGACACAAAAAAATAAGTATTGTGTGATTCCACTTATATGAGGCACCTAGAGGAGTCGAATTCAGACACAGAGAGAAGGATGCTGGTTGCCCAGGGCTGGGGGGCGGGGGGGGGGGGGGATGGGGAGTTGTTATTTAATGGGTATAGTTTCAGTTTTGTGTGATGAAAAGGATCTGGAAATCTATTGTACAACAATGTGAGTATACTTAACCCTGCTGAACTGTACACTAAAAAGTAGTTAAGATGGTAAATTTTATGTTTTGTGTTTTTTACAATAAAAAATTTATTACTATGACCAGAAATTACATTTTTAGGCATCTATCATAAAAAATAATCAGAAGGAGAATCAAAGATTTACATATAAAGGTGTTATCACATGTTAATAATGTAAAAAGTAAAATCAACTTAAATGTTCAACAATAGGTGAATGGTTAAATAAATGCACAATTGCAAATGCTATAATATGCAATATTATGTGGCCATTAAAAAGGATGCTTTCAAAAAATATGAAAATGCTCACAATATGTTATGAGGAAAAAGCTGGATCTATGACTATAAACAGTATCATCCCAATTTATGTTAAAAAAAAAATTAAGTGGAGGGGGAGGGTATAGCTCAGTGATAGAAGTCATGCTTAGCATGCTTGAAGTCCTGGGTTCAATCCCCAGTGCTTCCATTAAAAAAAAAAAGGAAGAAAGAAAAAGAAAAAAAAATCCTATAATGAAAGATAAATTAAAAAAGAAAAAGTAGGATGGTAAAAAAGTGAGCGAACAGAAAATCTTTATTTGAATAGAGTCATAGAAGAAAATACACTGAAATGATTTCAGTGGTAATCTTTGGCTTCTGGGGTTATAGGTGCTTTTTCTTTTTCTTCATGATTTACTATATTTTTCAAAGTTCAATAATGAATACGGATTATTTTAGAATCAGAAAAATATAAAATTTTTTTAAAAGTTTTTAAAAAGTTTTAAACAGACACGAGAAGAGAAAGCTCAGGGCTGACTGAGTAGGGTACTCAATAAATTCTTGCTCATGACACATGGGCCAGGACCCGAGGGAGGATGGTCAGGCCAGGTCTGATCCAGGAACCACGGGTAAAGCAAGCTGGTGCTTCCCAGAAAAGAAGATGAGGGTAAGTCCCCGGTTCCTGGCCTCCAGTGGCCTTCTCGTTATTCTTATTGATTGTTGGTTTAGACACAGGAAAAAATGGAAGGAATGGCTTCCTGCTTTAAAGAGGAAAATTAAGATGTCCTAAGGCAAATGTTCCACAAAGTAAAGAAATATTTTCCCTTCTATGACAGACAAATTATCTCTGAGTATTATGCCAAATTCTGCATAAAATTGATTAATTACATACACACACACACACACACACACACACTATATCCAATAAAGGAAATAAAGTCAGTAAGATAAAGATATGACAAATGCTAAATTTAAAAAAAAAATCAATATCTAAAAGTGAAAAAGTAAATACTCACTGATTCACTTGCAGGTCCTCAATTTCCAAAAGAACTCCTTTTTCGTGTAGTCTTGCTGCTGTATATTTTAGAGAAATCTTTTTGCTTTTCTTTCCTTTCATTTCCCTAGGCTTTTTGGAGACCCTGTAAAAATCACATTATGTCACTTTCTGTAAGTAACTATCTACTGTGAATCTTTGTTGGTAATTCAAGGATATGAGGTCAGCCCCATACACAAGTAAGTAACAAACCAATTCTAAAATGGCAAATAAATTGCCTAAGCAATGTCTCTGCAAAACAGGGAAACATTCCTAAATTGCTTTTGTTTTTAATTTAAATTATCTTTGAGAACACACCACGAATCTGACAGTGCCTTAATCTTTCCATGTCCCTCTCAGAGCCTAAGCACATAAATTACATGCCAGCCTGAGGGAACTGTGCTGAATCCCAAGGGAGTCACTTAGTGGCTGTGCAGGGAAAAAAATAAAAATGTCTTCGAATGCATAATTTTTAAGAGTTTAAGCCACCATAGCAATTACAGAAGAATGGGAGCAAGGAAAAAGAAACATGTTAGAAGGCTATTGGGATAATCAAGGCGAGAAGCAGTAAGAAAAGTAAGCGAGGGAAGAATAGAGATGAACGAGAACTCGATCTGTAACTCCCAAGGGGAGGGTCTCAAAAAGTGGAGCAGAAAAGCTGGTACTTTTGTAAAAGGGAATAATTGCTATGGCTGGCAACTGAAATATCTATCAAAATCACAACTGCAAAGAACTTTTGATCCAGCAATAACCCTTCGAGAAATTTATCTTTAAAAACATGCCTATGTTCACAAAGTGACATATGTATAAGAGGTTATTTGTTACAGAATTTTTTATAATAAATAAGTGGAAACAATGAAGATGTCTATCAGTGGAGAACTGATTGAGCAGTTACATTTATCTATACAATAGAATATCATGTAGCCATTAAAAAAGCAATGAGAACCTAGGTCCGTCTGCTTAAAAGGCCTGAAACAATGATGACTCTGGCATTGAGCACATCTAGTGCCTAGATTTTGGTTTCTAAATACATTCTTCATTAAAAGGAACCAGGGATGGTTGGAGAAATAACTAATTCCAAGCCTGGGGAGGGAAAAGTACAAATTGAACCAGAAATATCTCATGGCACAAGGTCAAGAAGTGCTCAAAGAACAATGGGGACATTTCAAAAGGACACAGGAGTCAGCTCTGCAAGCTGGGTAAGGTGGACCTGATTTGTAGTCCTTCATATCAGCCCTGCCTCACTCTAGGAACTCTTCAGGGAGGGAGGGAAAAAGCATAGATGGAAGAATAGGCAAGCTGGAGAGAGGCGAAGTCAATGTGGCAAAATGTTAAATACAGGTGAATCTAGGTGAAGGGTAAATGGGTGTTTCTTATTCTATTCATTCAACCTTTCTAGGGATAGAAAATTCTTAAAATGAAAAGTTAGGAGCAAATAATGAACCAACCCATCTAATAAGCAGAACCTGTGCTTATCACCTCATCTCTCTGGATTTTCAGGTTCCCTCCCTGTAAAACGGGCAGCCTGATGGCTTATGGGTTGCATCAGGTTTTCGTTGGCAGCTGAGGAAACAATCAGGATCCGGGATCCCACGTTCAGGAGGTGTAGCGGCCAGGAATTGACATAAGTGTTTATAATGTTCCTTAAGTGATTCTGTGGCACGTTCTGGTTTGGGGACCACTAAATGATCCCTTCCCATGATTCTTTAGTTTCTAGGGCCAGGAAGGTATTTTGGGACAAGGGATGCTTAGAAATAAACAGCCTTGAACCCCCCCCACATTATTTATTTACATACAATAACAAATGGAACCAGGAAATTATATAAATGATTAGAAGCAAAATAAAAGACTAATGGAAAAAACAAACCCAGTGTGTTTTAAATAAAAATTTCCAATGTCACTCCAGTTGCCTCTTCTTTTTCCCCTGACATTGATTCTTTAGAAGAATACTCACTTGCCCTTGCTGGCCAAGTTATCCAAGCAGGTTTTGATGTAGCTCTTATAGTAATCCACCTGCTCTCCATAAAAGGTGGCCTTAGAGTTCAGAGCAGCATACGTTTGCTGCAGTTTCACGAGTTCAGCCTTTCTCCTCTGTCGGTATCTCCGCTGATTTCGAATATCCTGAGACATAATTATTGAAATTAGGAAAATAATGATGGATATCACGTGCTTCTTGAGTCATTAACACTAGATCCCAGCAGTGCTTTAACTGTGCCTTGCTTGACCACACATTCTTAATAGGCAGCAATTTATGTTCAAAGATTAACAAAGAAATTCAGAGCTCATCAATTTTTTCCCCATTTGTATTTTCCAGAGGCAGGGAAATGTGTTACTTTTACAGACCTATGCATTCTCAGAACTGACTTGCAAAGCTGGTTTAAATCTCTTCAGTGTATTGGCAGGAGGGGAAGAAAAAGATAATTTTCATATAACAGTTACCAAGCTTCCACCCGTGCATGGCACGATCTTGGTGCGACAGCAGAGAATGGCTACACTCTCAGCCCACGCCAGAGCCCTTTTCTTGAGAAGACTCACATAAATCAAAGGTTTGATGATAATTCTGATGTGAATTTATATTTCATAGCAATCATTACAAAGCCTGGAAGAATTCTTTAAGGCCAAAGACAAACTGAGACGCAGGAAGCTCTAACTAGGGTCTTCTCCCTAATTTAGGCCGTGGAATAAGCCATCAAAGGGCAGGCCAGGAACTCACGTTGGAAGAGTCAGAAACAACTCCCCACAGGAGGGCTCTACTCTGCCTATGAACTGAAGGTATGTTGTCATTGGAACAGCTGCTGTCCCCTCATGAGCCTGTGACAGTTTTAAACGTGGCCAGGCCTTCCCTGCCCCCTAAATGCCGTACCTTGGCGATGTCGTTGATCAGTTCCTGGTATCTGTTCTTTGGGTCCACGGTCCCAAGCTCCGTTAGCTTCTTCAAGCCTGACTGGATCTTCTCCTTCTTCTCTTGAAGAGTGAGATTGCTGTCTTCCTTTATCGTTTTTGACTTTTTCATCTTGTCAGGAGTTTTGGCGTCACGGATAGCACGTCTCTGCATGGCCCTCTGATGTTCTGCTTCCTACAGTAAGAAATGGAAGTTCGTGGCAAGGTCTTCACACTAATCTACACTGAATTTATATAGTTTTCAAACTCCATTCTGGAAACAGAAGGGAACAAATTTACTCCCCAACAAATGACAGAGACACTGCATGAAGCAGAGGCAGATCTCTCTTCATCCAGAAGACAAGTCTGCGAAGTCACGAGCCTTTTTAGGGCTTCTTTCCTGGACTCTAAGGTATAATTGGAGATTGGACTCTGCTGGATACAAAATCCCTCCTTTTTTCCCTATCACATCTGGGACATGGAAACCATTTAATTTTAATGGAAACCCAGCTTGATGAATGTTATAACCACCCAATGCAACAACAGTGCTCAGTAAATTCTTGCTAATTCTTTTTGCCACCTCTTCCAGGCTGAGTGCCACTCACACTCAGGCCTTCCCTCTACTGTCAGACATGCCACAAATGCTGGTAATCTTAAAAAGACCCTTCTTAATTCTGGTATCTCTCCCAATCACCATCCAACACGTGTCCATTATGTTCCCGCCCAACAAATGATCCACATGTGCTGTTCCACTCTTTCAACACTTTCCTCTTTATTGCCTCAGAATCTGGCTTCTGCATCTACTGCTTTCATCACCAATTACCATTCCTCCCACCCTAAATCCAGGACCTCCTCCTAGTTGTTGCCTTGATCATCTTCCCTGCACTTCTTCCCTGCACTAAGCATGGGGTGGCACCTCCAAGTGACCCATGGTCATTTCCTTATAATTGTTCTCTCTCAAAACTTCAATGACCACCTCTATGCTGAGAGATCCCAGCATATGGCTAAGGCTCTGGTACCATATTTTGAAATGTTTGTACTAGGGATGTTTATATTTGGAAAAGCTTGTAGTTCAAACTTGTAATTTCTCCCAAACTGGAGCAATCTGTTTCTTAATATTCCCTTTTCTTCTAAAGCCAATACTACTCTTTATCATATAAAGTAAGGAACACAAACTGTGGAGTCAGAAAAAACTGCATCCAAGTTTGGTTCTGCCACTGCAAGTTGATGGTCTTGGGCAAATTACTTAACCTCTAGCAGGTCTTTAGTTTCATCATCTGTAAAATGTAGATAAAAAGACTCACCTCATAGGGACACTGCAAAGATTACATGAAAGAACATAGGTGAAAGCACCAAACTACTGTCAGTTCTCAATAAAGACCAGCTCCTCCTTCCCAACTTCAAACTTTCTTCCAGGTTACACAAGTTGCAGTTACTGGTTACGTATCTTTTCTTGACCCTCACATACATCCAAATGGTAATCAACCACAGCATCTGATAGCTGACAATTCATTTAAAACAGTAGTTTTCATATAGTCCTTGGTGCAGCCTTAAGGGTCTCCCAGAGGGACCATGAGTCCCAGAGGGCGGGCTTCTAAGGGCCCCATCCCTAGTGCCACTAGAGTAGCTCCAATTTTACTTGTATTATATATTGGGCTTCCAAATGTACTGTTACTTAATGAAAAGGATTCTCATGCTCAAAATTTGAAATCGAATGACTGGACTTACTTTTCCCATTTTATAAACATGAAACAGGAATCTTAAGTGTGAAGTGATTCATCTGTCCCTTCCCACTGCCACCCCTCAACCAGCTGGGCCTGGGGCCTAAGCACACACCTAGATGACTCAGCTACCAGCTGCTCCGACAGCACTGCCAAGTGGATCAATATCAAATGGTCCCAAAGGTTATAAAACTCTTTACTCCTTATCTCTCTGGTGCCAAACTCCTAAGTTTTGAGTTCTATATAATTTGTCCTCATGCTTAATTTCTCACTACTCATCTTCACCCACCTCTTCATTCCAGGTATGTAGGTCTGGTCACATCATGCTGTCCCCTCCCTCGGGCCTCTGTTCACCTGGACTCTCCTGTCCAGAATGCCCCCTTGTCATACATGTACACTCCAGTCCTGTCCATTTTGTCCATTTGGTTCAAGTCCCACACCTTCCTGATGCTTTGCTCCCCACTGGCCTTTCTCCTTAACTTCTAGCATTTTTAGAGCCAATACCACAGAGAATTTTTAATGGTTTACTAAGAGGATTGGGTACAGCTCAGTGGCAGAGCGCATGCTTAGCATGCATGAGATTCGGGGTTCAATCCCCGGTATCTCCATTTAAAAAAAAAAGAATTGAATAGGTTTTCTAATTGCTTCAGGTATATATGCCACACATCTCCAACTAGATCATGAGTTCACTGAACTTAGAAGCCACATTCTCTACTTTTATTCTGTCTACCAAGGCACTTACCAAACTTCCAACTATATAATATTTAATAAGTAACTCATTGATTCTGCTTCAGGTTAAATTAAAACACACACATAGGCTGCATGTAAGTGCCAGTGAGCTTTGTGCCCTAGAAACATCTACCTCTGGATTTAGGAACCAACAACTTTCTCAGGAAGCCCTAAACACCACCACCCTCCAGTCACTGCCAAGCCCACCTCCAGGTTGCCACCTCTCACCAGCTGTGTCCTGCCTCCTCAGCCCTGTCATGTGACTGTCACAGGAGAATATCTCCGCCTTGCTGTGGTAGATGTTAAACCCCTAAATTTTACCTGTTCACTGGTGGCTGGTGTTTCTAGGATTTCAGTCAAGGTCTCTCCTGGCTGGAACCGGATGACGTCCACAATTAAACGTTTTGTGCTGAAAGGAGATGCAGGCAGCGTTTAAACATTAGCAGGAGTCCTACTTCCCCTCGAGTGGCCACAGCAGCAGCAGCACTGCCTCACACGGGCCTACTGAGCAGCTGCTACTGCAAGGCACACAGGCCCCAGGCTTCTTTACGCAGCTATACCAGGGTGGGCACCGAGGTTAGGATTTCCAAGGTGCAAACTCATTTTGGCATCTTATTAGCAAATAAGGCAGTAGGTCCTTTGCCAAGTATAACACATGAAGTGGCCAGAATCATGTCAGGCTTAAATGGCCAGGATGATCACTTTAGGTGTGAACAAGCAGACTTGTTCATCAGGACTAAGGGGTCACTGGGTTACATTTACTCCATTCCTCCTACTTCCAATACTCACTTCAGTAAGATGGTCCTCGCGTCCATTTCTGCATTCTCATCTCCAGGCACATCAAACTTGTTAGTCAGTGTGAGAGATACTTCTGTCTTAGCCAGTGCCTCCTTATTTGGGTCATTTAAATTGCCAGAGCTTTCTCCTAAAGTTTTGCGAGGGTAGAAAGAATCAGTATCAAAAAGAGAGAAGACACTGGAGAGGAGATAATAATACAAGTAAAAGATAATACGAGTTTAAGAAGATAGTTGAACAAGCCAATATGTACACTGCGGCAAGGACATCTTTTACTAAGAAATACAAGAAAATATTATGCCAGATGATAAAGGCAAAGGATCCATAATAAAACAATTTAATAAATGTTTAACAAACCATTTCAACACTGTAATATTTCTCTCTCAAAATACTCTGTTCATTTCCTTTACAGGACTTACAATTTCTAGTGACAAGACTATGCACGTATATGCACTGGAAGTGATCTCTTCCCCTGGACTTCAGCTCCTCACAGACAGGGGTTACATCGGTTTTCTTCCCCGATGTATATTCAGAGCTTGAACAGTGCAGAAACAGTGGAGGTGACAATGAACAGCACTCCTGCCAAGTTCCCCTCTCAGCTTCTGGGTAGTTGAGTCAGAACCTTACCTATTAGGGACTCGATAGTGGGCACCTCGCCAAGGTCATCCAGCAGCTCGTGGATCGGGTCGTTGTGCTCCGGGGCAATGGCGTCCTGGTGATCTAACAGGAGCTGCATCGAACATCCAGGGGTCAATTCCATTCACACGCTCAACCCGTTAGCACCCACCCCATTCACAATGCCTACCAGCACAAAAGAGGTGAGATAACAAAGCTCCTACGTTCGAAGAACTGACAAACCAATCCTCAACAAACTAACCTAAATTAACAACATACAAAGCAACACACTAGCCGTGCTGAATGGCATATGCTGTGAGGTATGAAGAGGGAATGCCGGTACTCTCTCAAATTTATAGATATAAAGGATTTCAATGAACTCTATATAAGAAAGAACAACGAAACCCACAGACTTCAATTTCCAAGTCATCAGCCAGTTCCAATGACTCGCATTCATACTTTTACTTAATGTTTCCAGTATATAATATCTTCTAATTCAGAGAAAAGTGCACCAGATCAACATTATCATTATTTTAGGGACATTGAGCAAAGCCTTTAAGATGCTATTATCCCAGGCGATGCCATCAGAAACGACAATACCTGAAATTTCATTTACATTTTATATATTTCCTCATTTCCTGTTCAATATGTCCCCAAAGGGAAAAGGAATCAATTATAAAAATTTGGGGGAAAAAAGGAGCACCCAAGGGAAAAATCACTCTAAGGTGACAGAGCAAAAAAGTTGGTATTATGATGTTAGAATGTAACACAGAGGGCCAGGGTAAAACGAAGGAGCAGTAAAAACAGTATTTTATCAAGTCACTACATCAGTCGTCACAATGGAGATTCGGAAGCCCACCCGTGGGGATTCAGATTCAGCTGGCCTGTGGTGGGGCTCAGGAAACTTCATTTTTAATAACCAGCCCAGATGTTCTGTTGCAGGTGGCCTGGGGATCACTTCGAGAAAGTTAAGGATAATAAGCAAAGGAAGATAAACAACAAGGCAGATGTGATGTCAGTAAGATCACAGGAAGGTAAACTATCTGGCTTCCAGAGATAGCAAGCAGCAGCCAGAGAAGGCAATTAAGACACAGCAACGAAAGTAAGCAATTAAAGAAAAACACGTACAGTGTGGGTGTTGATGATTTCGCCAATGGAAATGTAGATCACTGGTTTGGTGAGGGTCACTAAATCAGAGTACTCATCCACATTAAATTTATCCTGAAGCTCTGGGACATCACAAGCGGTTTGGAAAAACCGTCTGAAAATAAACACAGGAGTCAGGCCCCAACAGGTGACACATGTGTGAGAAGTGGACGGGAGGACGCCCCACAACCCTCTGGAGCAGTGAGTTCAAACAGAAGCCAGTCATGACGGTTAATTCTAGAGAAACTGCTGCACATTCATTGATGCTTGACAGCCTTGGGGCGTTGGTTCTCTCACCACCCAGTTTTAATTCTACCCACAAGAACTACTCAACCATAATTTAAAACAGTTCTCAAACACCTGTGTCATTAGCGGATCCAACTTTCTAAGACAATGCCCCCAGCTCAACTGAATGTTTAATTTGCAACTATTAAAAGCACTCTCCAGTTCTTCTCTGACTACAAAGTAACATGTGCCTAATGCAGACCATTGTTTTTACATTACTGTCTGTTTCACAGGAATACATTTTAATAGCTCAGACATCCTCTTCATTATCTCCCGGAGCTCTGAGCATATCAAACATGTGTCCTACAATACTGTGGTCCAGGGAATGCTGGGTGTGGTATTTAATCCTGTCTTTTCCTTCAGAGTTAGAAACATGCCCATGGAATCTTTTAAGTACATTGTCCCTTTCCCCTTACCTGAATTTCTGGTAGGATTGGGAAAGATATTCGTTAATGATGCTTAAGTGAGCATTATCTCCCAGAAACATCTTATTGGAAGCTGCATGTTGGAGCATCTTTGCAATGGAGCCAAGATTTCGGCGTTGGTCTGTGGTAAGCTGGCCTCCTGCTGACAGGTCAATGATGTCAAACGCATCAGGAGCAACAATGGCTGGATTCATGTATCGATAGTAGAGCAAGTTACCAATAATCTGGGAACAGAGGATAAAGAAATGGGAGTTAAAAATCACTCCACCAAGTAAGCCATAAATGGCTTTGCTAGCAAAGAAAACCAGAAAATGCAGTCCTGTGAGAAAAAAATAAATACTACACACACATGCACATACACTTTCTCTCAAGGCCTGAAACTTTTAGTGACCAAACATCCCTTGGCTGGATGCAGAAAAAAGAAAAAGAGAACAGAACTGAAAATCATAATGAAAGAGAAGATTCGGAAGGTAAAAATGAAAGATGTAAAGTCTGTATTGGGCATTTTAGGGCAGTCTTTGTTCACGTATCACAGCAGCAAATAAGGGTGCTGTCAACCACATGCACTTTTCGTTTTTAGGTAAATGGGCTTTCATCCTAAGAAGCTAACAAACGTAGCTAAAATCAATCCTTAAACATGACCAAATTAGCATAGCATAATCTGTCCAACCCCCACCATCCTCATGCTGCAGACTTCAAAGGCAGACAAACTCATGCCTCTGAAATTAAAGTCACTCAACACACAACACTTTCACAGAAGGACTCAAGGAAAGTCACAGCATTTCCCCTAGAGTTTCATTCAGAAAAAAATAAAATTAATTCACCTGAACAGAAAGTCTAGAATCGAGGCCTCACTGTAGGAAAGCACAGAACTAGGAGAGAAGAAAAAAGCGTTCAGATTAAAAAAAAAAAAAAAAAAAAAAAGGGAAGGAGCATAGCCGAGTAAGAGAGAGTTATCAGCAACAGCCTTAGCAGAAAAGTGCTTGCTACCATTCACCTGGCCACCAGCAGAGGGAGCAATTCTTCAGCGAAAGATAGAGGACTCAAAAGAAATTTGTCTCAAGACAGGAAAATCCATCTTCTCTACTTGTTTGGTGTCTGTGTACCAATCAAACAACACTGGAACTATAGAGGAACTAAGAGAGGTATTATTTACTGTTTACAGTCACTTTCAAAACCTCACAATCAATGGTGAGTTACTGACAAAATCTATGCTTAGGTATTCACTAAGGATCTAAGGTCAGGTCTAGTCTTGTCACTTCCCTCCCAGAGGATTATTGCCAGGGCAAGAATGTGCCAACTTTCAGGGTCTTACCTTCAGCAGTTCATCCTCACCAGCATCAGGGAACTTCTCATGTAAAGAGTCCTTCAGCACTTTGGCAATGAAGCGCATCCCATAACTGTGGGATGGACAAAACTCGGTGAGAAGGGCTGGGGAGCAGAAGGCCACTAATGCTGGGCTCTATTTGGGGTCACAAGTGATGGCACTCACGGGATTTTGTCCACAGAGCTGATGATGGCTGAGAGGAACTTGTCTGTCACAGCCCTCATGTTCCTGATGGAGTTGTCTAGTCGTGTTCTGACTTCTTCATGAGCCAGAGCCTGCTCTGGGGTCACATCATAGGGTAGTTTGCTGGGAAAGCAGAAATCATTCCAAACTATGTTAGACCAACAGCCAGGAACATCCTGAGGCAAGACTCAGAGAGATCAGGTAATTTTCTTACGCACATAGAGCTGGTAAATTTGGGGAGCCAGAATTTAGACTCAGGTTTTCATCTATGAATTGGGTGCCTTGAACTATGTGCCAGGCACTAAAATAGGCACTTGGGATAAAAGGTATGTGACATGACAGCTTCTCAAGTTTCTTACAATCTGGTGGGAGAGACATACAAATAAATACCAGCAAACACACTGTGCTGTAGATAAGGAGCTGACGAGGAGTACCACCAGGCCACAGAGAAGAGGCTATCCAGACTAGAGGAACTAAGGAAGACTTTCATAAAGAAGGGATATCTGACCTCAGGAAAAAGGGAGAAGGAAGGTCTTCTAGGAAAGATGATCAAATGCAAAGAAAGGGAAGAGGTAGGAGAAATGAGAGCAGAAAAATAAACAGGGGCCAAGTCATGGAGGACCTTGTATATAATGCTAAGAAGTTTAAACTTTCCTAGAAGCCAGGAAGAGCTATTAAAAGACAGGAGACCTGAATTCTGAGGAAAATTGCTCTGGTCCACCACGAGAAACGAATTAAAGGTGGACACTCACAGATGAAAGAGCTGGAAGCCGAGTGCCACAGGCTGCTCCAGAGACGCTGAGGGCATAGACACGGACGCAGTGGTGGGGCCAGGAGGCAGACACGAGAGATATTAAGGAGATACAATCAATGCGACTTGGTGACCCTTTGGGTACTAATGAGGGAGGTGACAGTTTTATATATAGGAACTCAAGCCAGAGGAGCTGACAAGATCACTCAAGGAGAGGGCAATGTGTCAAACTGGCAAGGAAAGAGGAAACGTGCTAGAACACTGAGCCTAGGCTTGATTAGGACGGAAATAAAACAGGAGGGAGCTGAAAGACAAAAATGAAACGCAGGGGTCAAGGTCTGATACTTTCAATGAGGTCAAAAAGCACTAATGGTGATCTTGGTGGCCTAAATCCAATAACAAGCGTCCTAGTAAGAGACAGGTGGAGGGAGATTTGGAGGGAGACCTGGAGGGAGACCTTACACACACAAGAGGAGGCAATGTGACAACAGAAGCAGAGACTGGAGTGATTCACCCACAAGTCCAGGGATGCCAGCAGCCACCAAGAAGCCAGGAGAGGCAAGGAATGGATTTCCCACTAGAGCCTCCAGAGGGAGCGCAGCCCTGCTGATACCTCGATTCCACCCCTTTGATACTGATTTTGGACTTCTGGGCTCCAAAACTGTGAGAGAATACATTTCTGTTGTTTTAAGCCACCAAGAGTGTGGTAATTCATCACAGGAGCAACAGAAAACTGATACAAGCAGATAGGGCTACAACTCCATTTATCACACGGTGGCTGGATTACAAACATAGGTAGACTATGAACACAAGGATTCAGCCAAAATCAACGAACATATTCTGTTTGAAACAACTGGCCGTATGGAATTTACAATAAGGGCATTGTATATTTTGTTATTTTTAAGTTATGTGCTAAACATTTTTTATAGCAGTAAAAATTTGTAACTATGTGTATATGACATTTTAAAAAAGTAGTAAGGAGCAAAGGGAATAAAAGTGCAAAACACAATGGCTATAGGCAGAAAACAGAATTTTAAATCTCTAAGATTTTAGAAGTGAACATTCCCAAGCGATGACAAGGTCCCAGTTTGCTATGTGTTTGGTGGCTACAGCTCAAGGATCCATGATGCTTACATGCAGAATGGGCTCCCATCACACACCACTGCACCTCCAAGTTATCCATATACAAAAAAAAAAAAAAGTTTTGAAACTGATTTCCATTTTATGAACAGCAAACTAAGACATCAGTTTCTGATAGGCACCCACAAGAAAAAAAATCCTGAAACATCTACTGGAATTTTGCTTTAAAAACTTATGACCACTGGAGGAAATATCATAGTACCCTTGAGTCAGCATCCACAGGACTGTCATCTGGGATGCTCTGGGTTGCAGGCAAACCTTCCCAGTCAAATACTGCAGTTGGCTGACCACATTCCAGGATCTGAACCTCAGGTGTGCAGGTCAAAACGAAAATGGATTTTTTTCATCCCACCAAGCAATGATCTAACTCCTAGTAACAGACTTGCACATTACTGAGAACCAAATCAGGTGCCCAGTAATTCCCAGTAAGGGAGATAAGCCTTCTCTAGGAGTCAGCAGAACGTTCTGTTCTCTATCCAGGGTAACCTCCCTCTTTGCCTGGTGTCCAGGTAACCTGGACAGCAGAATGATGTAGAGCAGCGCTTTTCAATGTGTGGACCAGTACCAGTCTACCAGTCAGTCCAAGACCGGTAAGGAGCTGGAGCCAGAATATAATCAACACACTGTTTCCTTCACTGAGAAAGTCTTGCTATGGAAAAAAAATGTCAGCTGAACTAAAAACAGTGTGCTTAGCCTCACAGATTTTCAGTTTCTGGCCCACAGATCACACTGTGAGTAGCAATGGTACTTTTTTAAGCTCCAGAGAACTTCATGCATGATCTAACCCTACTCTACAACAACAAGAAAAACTGCCATAGCCTAAGCCGTTCACATCTCTATTCCTCAACCCTCACTGTCCTCACTCTACTGAATAAAAACGTTTTGAAACATTCTGGCTTTCTGAATTCTGTTTTACCAGCACTAACCATATTCTGTTGACATACTGTTGCTTTAGATGTGTTACTGCTGGTGGTAAACTACAGCCCAGGCACAGAACTCTCCCGAATTATGTGAATTTAGTTAGTCCAATGCTCAGTACTCCAGGGAAGTTCATCACTTGCCCACGCCATCTCCTCTTTCCTTTAACGAAACAGTACTCTCATGCAGATCTGTGCAAGTCTTCCCATCCAACCGCATCTCGAGTGATGCCAGTGTCCTCCTAGATCCTAGACTCTCCCAAGCTCCTTCCACCTGAGGGCATTCAGACACGGAGACTCTGCACCTAGCTCTCGGCAAGGCTGGTCCCTCATATCCTTCAGGCTTCAGCCATGTGGCGTATCACCTTCTCAGAGAGGCTCCCCCTCTTAGTCAGCTCCCTCTGTATTCTCCATTACAGTTTGCCACAAAATCCTCCTCAGTTTGTAATGTTACTTTTATGCATGTGTTTGTCACCTCTCCCATGCAATAACTATGAACAGAGGGCAGGGAGCATGTCTGTTTCATTCATTATTGTATTATTATATGTATACATGACAGAGTCTGGCATATAGTAATCAACAAATATTTGCTAAATAAGTGAATAAATTACTAGGTCAACTGTTTGAAGAAGAGGTCTCCAAGGAAAGACTATTTGAAAAATTATTAATTTATAAATCAAAGAAACATTAACTGCTTAAAGAGAAAGGAAAGAATAAAAACATGAAAGAAATGGTACTGTGGTTATCATACCTTGCCTCTCCTGTCTGAGACTCCATCTGATTAACCCAAGATTTGTAAATATCCACAGGATCAGTTTTGATGTTGAGAGATTTGTCATCCATAATCTCCTTCACGACCGGGGCCAGTATCTGTCTCAGCGCATTCTGGCCCCGCGCACCACGGTTGAAACTTACAACCATCTTTATAACTGTAGGATTTCCTGTCACAATCTCTTGAATCTGATCTACTTTTGACCTATAGAACAGAAGATACAAATTCAATTCAAACTAATCACTGAATCTACCAACTTAAGGATCCTTCCCACTTAAAGGTCTCATCTCCTAAAAACAGAAAGACTTAGAAGGAAAGGGGTATATGCTCTTTTCTAGAAACATTCCCCAACACTTATCCGAACACAGGATCTTCCTGAGGTTGCAAACTCAATCACGGGACCACAATAAGAT